GGTCCAGCTATGTTGGAAGAGTGGATGCTTTCCTGTTGGAATTCTGGATTTTGCAATATCTGGATCATGCAGGTGCCATATGTGTCGTTATCAGACCAGATTAGCGCATCGTCACAATGCCACAAAGGGACCGCGGGCAGTGGGTAGTTGGTGCCCATGGGCTTGAGAAGCGGCGGTTCTTTCAGTGCGGCGGCAGCCCCTGCTCCCTGGCGGCTGTTGGCTGGTATTTGCGGCGCAAGACCCTGCTTGGTCCTGCAATTATGAGAGTCATAGCTTGGTTTTGAAGCGGCGAGCTTGCGCTGCGTCTGGGCATGCTCGGATTGGCGGCGAAGTGCGGATGGGTCTGGATTCTCTTTTCCTTGGGATGACACCCATGGGTACTGCCGTCTGAATGCTGTGATCAAACGCCATGGAGGCTTCTTCCTGAAATACTTACTAAACAAACAGTATTAGCTTAGCGCTGGTTCAATGCCGGGGCGATGCATCTTGTTACAGCAGTGCCGGCATTTGAATGCCACGGAAGGCTGGATGTACCTTTGACGAACCAGGCTGCCTGGACAAGAGTGATTGAGATGGTTTCGTCCTCCGCTGACAGCTGACACCCGCTTCGGCTCACGCAAGGGGTGTGTTGGCCTTTTGAGGCCGTAAGCCACGACTGCTGCACATGGGCCAGAATTGCATGAGTCCGATTTTCCAATGGATGCGACCAGCGCTGGTAGAGGTCCGACGCTTCCGGTGCTCTTCGTCGCATGATCGAAATCACCCGACGAACCACAGGTGCGGTGGGCGCCAAGTGATGGTGCCTTGCACAGCGAGGGGGCCTTGGTGGGGTCGACCCTCGAGGCAACAGAGGCTGCCCCGACAGTGATTTTCTTTTTTTCCAAGCCACATTCCTCCCGGTGGGACATGTTCTCCCTCGATTGATTGCCCTTGAACACAGTGGTGTTTTACTGCTGAGGTTTAATTGGATGGTTGGAGTCATGAGACTTTGGTAGTGCAACATCGTCAGTTATCGTTGGCTTTCTCCGCCGTCGGCGAAATGCCCATAGCGAAGTTGTAATTTTCACCCATGTGCACGCATGTGCATGATAGTTCCGTGACAAGGGTGGTGGTGCATCGCTAACACCGCGGATAATTGACTCTCTCTTCGACTGGCCAGCCCGCTAAGCCCTTCGTCCAGGGTTTGGCAGGCGTCACCAGACACCTGAGACACAGCAGGCTCTTGAAAGATTCTTGTGATCATCCTGCTCACCGGTTTTCTTATCCAGGTCGACTTGACACAGTGGTGTTGCTGTCTTGGGTTCTTGCCGTTGCGCTTCCCGCATCGGCGGTAATACATACGTAATTTGCTTGTTTCATGCCGGCGCCTGCGTCGTGCCGTTTCCGTTTGCTACCTCTGTCTGAAGGTTTTCCCTCCGTGCGCCGAGTCGCGGCGATCACAGCCACTGAGGCATCTCATGTCGCGGCGGGTGGGGGGGGAAGACCACTTCTGAGTAGGTGGGCAGATCCAGCTTGAGCCTTGCACAACCATCGTCTAGCCATTGTCCCTGGCATGGCAACCTCTGTTGCCCCGTGCGCCATCGTCCGGTCGCGTCTTGTGGACGCCTCCGGATCTGCTTCGTCGCATTGCTTCGACAGCCACGTAGCGAGAGCCGTTCGAACGCCGACAAGTGCAACTTGCTGTGCAGCCTCTTGTCCTTCCTCGCACGTCATTGGCGGACTGGTGACCTAGGCGCAAAACACGTCTGTCAAGCTCGCCGGAGGTCCGGCTTTGGCGGATCGTCGCCACACTTCACGGGAAGCATTTCGACCGACAGTCGCCCACATACCACTGCGATCTACAGCACGCCAGCCCATGTCCACCCGTAAAAATGAGCCGCGTTATCCTTAATCCGATTCCATGCACAGTCTACAAATAAGCCCTCACCTGTTGGTGCGTTGTGATCCAAGGCGAACTCGAGTACTATTACAGGAGCACAGAAGCCCTCGCCCGCTTGGGTGTAGCAGCGCAGCCCGGGAAGAAGACTTTCAAGTTGCAGTGATGAACTACACATCAAAAACAGTAAATGCGCACACGGAAAGTACTCCTTCGTTTTTGCTGTTGGAAAGCGGAATGCGAGTGTTTCTAGGCAACCCCAGGAATGGGGCGTATCATGCCTTGAAACTGGTGATGCTTAGACCGAATCCTGGGCGATGTTTCTACCCCCTCGCTTGCCAGTGTTTCCCTCTTCATTTGCATTTAACTGTCATGCTTCGCAACTGCGACTTTGCCAATCGTTCACAGCATTTTGCTGTGATTTTTCTACTTTCGTGGCTTCGGCCTGTCGACGCGTTGCCTAGACTGTGGTGCTAGGTATTCTAAAGCGATCGCAATGTATCCCGCTGCAGAACGATGATGGGGAAATCGCTCGACACTGACGACCCTTGCTCAACTCAGCTTCGCCAAAGCCACCCGACAATCGACCGTTCTCCTTGACAACCGCTGACGGCCCGCAGTAGACGTGGCCTGTTCGATTTGAGTCGCGAAACTTCTGTCTATATGGTTCGCTGCGCCCGACCTGCCTCCCATGGACCTCATGTACGGCACCGTCGTCATTGATGCTCAACGTCGTCCTGCTACAGGCCAGGCCGCGGGAGCGTTATTGACCATGGACGCTTGGAAGTGCATCTTGCGCCACCGACTAGCTGCGAAGGCGTTCATGGACTTGTACGGGCCAGCTTGGTTCGGTCCTATTGAGGCTTTCTGTTCTACTTCCATCGGCCAAACGGAGCGGAAGCTGAGCACCTTCCTCGAAGCCGTAGGCTCGAGCCTTGTGAGACTCGAGCCAAACGACGAGCACGATGGAGCATTCTATTTTTGGTTGCGAGACCTTAGCTACATGGAGGACAGACTCGGTGCGCCTTGGCCTTTCTTTAGCCGCGTTTTTGGCGAGGGAGAAGATGTGCTAACACGACTATACGTGTGGAACACATTGGCCACAGTCGACGACAGCCAGGTAGAAGCACAACGTACATGGCAACAGGTGTTCAAATACAGGTTCCCAGGACTGTTTCCACTTGCCCAGGACAGGAGATTGGCAACTATCCTTGTACAGAAGGAGTTTTGGAACAGGTCACAGTTGCGAGCGTTGTGCCTCTGGTTCGATATATTGACCTTGGAGACGATGTGTCGCGTCGTGCAGAGCGAAGACTGCTTGCAATGGATTGGAGCCATGATGCACCGAGTAAGAGGAAGGTTAATAGTCGAAGTAGCTGGTCCTTTCGATCTATCGCCAGCTTGACACCCAGATAGATAGTTAAAAGACGTGATCGAGTTATGGCATCATCAAGCCAGGGGTAACGAAACTGTCTACCCCATTTACAGCAGTCTGGTGTGTGATACTGTAGTAAAAAGGTGCCCATAGTTAAGCCGTGAACCTTCCAAAGAGTTTTCTTTGCCATCACCGTTGTGCACAATCAGGCTGCAATAGTAATTTATGCGGCAGTACAAGAAGAATGGCGCGGTAGATAGATCAGTACATTGCACCCGGTGGAAACAGTCCGAAAAAGATAACAAGTCTCCACGTCTCGTCAATCCTCCACTCGCCATTAAAAAGGCTTACAAGGTCTTCACGCAGACCCCCGCACACCCCATAATCTAGAACACGATCGCTTTTCCTAGGTTGAGACAGCAGCATGTAGCAAATGGCCAGCCGAGTAGGAAGCTGGGCTGGTTTAGGTGACAGCTGCAGAGGGCCGCAACTGCCTGTGTTCCCGTTGCCCCGTGGTGGCCTTTGTGTGCTTCGTTTCCGACTAGACTTGGGATTTGCTTTCCTCTCTTATGGCCAGTGGAAAGCCTGTGAAGCTATCTAGGCATACTGTCTGCACCTCCTGCCCGACACACGTTAGCTTTTAGACGCTCAAAACCGTCTGAGGCTTGGAGTTTAGAAGTCGAGGACCAGGTCGCGGTCGCCGGTCAACATACGAGCCAACAACATAGATACCATACAATCACTCTCGAGGTTTTCAACCGTTAGGCCAATGCCGACCTCGGTCACGGCAACGACGAATTTCGGCCGTACGAAGTTCACTACGCCAACCCTCTAGGCTCTCCGCGTCGAAACTGGCCTGCACAGCAAGGCGCCAGCTTCGCCGCCGACCATGCGGCCTGGCCATGCTGTACCCGGATGGTGACTAAAGGTGACGCTGGCAGTCGCGCAGGCCCTATGCACAGTACGGTTTATACGATTTGAACCATAGTAACATATGCTCAAGGTAAACAAACTCAGCAATCAAGCTCGACATACTTCAGCACCCACAAAGACCTTGGTCCTTCATATGCCAGCAACACAAGACCGTCGACGTCCTACAGCAATGCTGTTGAGGAGTACCTGCATAGCGCCCAGTCGCCGCGAGGGAGTCGAATCTTCGTCATTAAAACAGGTTTCCGCGGAGGCTGGTGGGCAGTGTCTGGCATGAGGTCTACTTCAACAGCCAAGGTAACGGACCTCTGTGGAAGGCAATTGCTAGATGGGCCGAACCACTTTGCTACACGGGCCGCGTTACACGGGCCGTGTGGCTGAACTCCCAAATCTGGCAGTCGCGCATTCCATCTGGCACTCAAGCCACACCCAGAATTTCCTCTTGGACGGGGTCCGAAAAGACACACGAAGGGCCAGACCGAGTTGGATCGGTTCAAGTTGGTTTGTCAAATGAATAATACGCCAACTTAAGCTAGTTAACTAATTTCTCGCGAATACCTTATGTATCATGTCCATACTATGGCCGCACGTGGATACAATCGTCGCGATTGTCTTCTCCAGAACCCGAAGGGGCCGGAGTCCTGAACTGGCTAGCCGCTGACGGGAGCTTTGCCGTCTGCGCTTCAGCCGAGCCTCCTCCTTATCTTCATCCGAGACAGTCTCCCAGTCTGACCGTTGTCTCCGTAGGCTCGGTTGCCTCCTGCAGCCAGATTGCCTCACGCCTGTCTGCTTGCCAGGCCCAAGCAAGCCTGACTTGCGAGTGGGCTTCCTGCCTGTCATAGTTCTGCCCACTGTTGCTCCGGTACGGCTCGGCGGCCGAATCTCCATGCTCTTAGGGACAGTCTGTGCTGCATTATTCGGTCGGCCTCGGAGACAGGTTGCGATCTTCGGGTCGAGGATTCGCCGGTAGGGATTGTGCGAAATTGGCTCCCTAAGGTGCCACCGAGGGTGAACATCCCATTTCGCCAAGGGCGTGCCGACTTCTAATTTGTTGTAGATTGTATGGCTGCAAGGAATTCCCAGCTGCCACGAGACGGAACAAGCCTCGTTGCAATCCCCGATCGGCTCTGGCCAAGGTCGTGACCTGCTTGGTATCGATCTCAAAGCGCGACGGTGTTCTTTGGTAACAAGCTTGAGTCCCGGCTCTGACATCACGGTGCGAAGCTCTCCCAGATACTCCGAACCGGACCCAGAATACATACCAGAGGTCAGCACCTCGTCTTGCGCACAGGCATCAACGAAATCTCGCTCCTGATCACTCAGCATAGCCTCAATGGCCTCGACCAGCGAGTACAAGTTGCTCATCCCATTGAGCAAGTAACTCTTGACATTGTTGTTGCTGGCCTCGGTGCCAGAAGTCACCCGAACCCCGAAATTCCGGTACTTCTTGATGAAGCATTGTGCCCACTGCGCTCGTATGGGCAGGTATGTCCTGTAAAGGTACATGAGTATGCCTTGCTGTTCGTTGAACTCGTCACATAGCCGCGCCCAGGCATTTTCGTGCCCTTCTTTTGTCTCGGCAAACGCAACAAACTTCCACAGCTCGAGGACGCCACGGTAGTTGTGCGGCACAGGCGCAGCCTCGTTTCTCTTGGGCACGGGGCCCTCCTGTCTCCCAGCCGCAAGCACAGCTTCCATATCCCTGGGAGTCAACGCTACCCGCGTCTGTTCACTGCAAGAGCTACCACCACCGTCGCTTTCGCCATGTTCCTTTGCGTCCTTCCACTTCCGTTTCGCATTGAGAAGAACGTTTGCGTTGATATGGTGGATACATAGCTGTTGCTGGCTGTCGGGATACTGGCTATCCAATGCGTCCTTCATTGCCTGGTCGTAGTCGGTGATAACAACATCTGGTGGCGGGATCCCATGCCTGTCGGTTATTTCTTTGGCCCCTTCCGCGAGGAATTGGAAGCCTTCCCGTCTCTCGTTGTCGATCAAACCGAATGCGGCGTTGTAGATGGACTTCAGGTAGGTCTGCCCGGTCACCTGGAAGAGCGGTAGCTTGAAGCGGTTTGTATTGTATGTGTTGTCGAAGCTCATTGTTTCCGGAAATCGCTTCCACATTCGGAGACAATATGGGAAGGTCCACAGCAGACCAACAAGGCGGTCGGGCTCCGTCGTTGACCACTTGACGATGTATGGAATGCCCCTCTCGTCAAACAGCTTGATCAAGGCGGCCGTCGGACTCAATCCTCCGAGCTTTTCACGGCGCAAGCGTGCCCGGGCGTTGTATATGTCCTTTCTCGTGTAGTGCGTTCCGAGATGCTTTTGTTGAACGATGCCACGCACATCGCGCGCCCTGATCCCAACGCGTCGGCTTGTCGCTTCAATTGTTGCTTTGACAGAGTCAGTAAGTCGCCGGTGGACTGGGTGCGCCGAGAGACTCATGCTATGGTCGTGGTTGTGCTGGCTGTGCTGAGGGTCGGCAAACGCCCGCAGAGTCCACATGTAGTCGTTCTGTTCCAGGGCCTCGGCAATAACTTTCCACTTACAACCACACTTGCGCGACCGCCTTTGGCGGAGACCTGCGCTACTTGATGTACGGGGCTCGCCATATCGATCGCACTGGAATACATATCTGGTCTTCCGCACTCGACTGCCGGAACCATTGCGCCTGATAACGCCAAATCCATTTTCTTTCGCGAATTCGTTGACGTGGGATTGCAGGGCCTCAATCGATACCGCGGCAGGGCCAGGCATTGGCGGGTTGGGGATAGGTATCAAGGCATCTTGACTGGGAGACCCCGTGTCAGATAGACCATCCCATTCCTCGTATTCCTCCTGCCGCGTTGGCGGAGGCAGCGTTGGCGGTGTCAATGGTGACGTTGGCACGGCCGCTGATAACAAGTCATTGGCGCCCGGAGCAACCCGCTCCACAGCAAGCGTCGGGCAATGATGGGCCAGTTCGAGTGCGACTGCTTTGTCCAACTTGGCTTGCTCTTGGGCAAAATCTAAGGCAGATCGAAAATAGACCGGCGTTCTCGTTGCGCTGCTCCACATCATCTAAATTTGCCTGCTTTACCTGCTCTCGTATGCGGGCTCTCTCAAGATTGTCGGGACCAGGAATGAACGAAGTGAACAAGCGCCGGGCGCCATGGCCGCGGAACCAGTCGTCTAGGAAGATTTGTGACTGCCGCAATTCCCAATAGGGCTCATCAATTCCTCGATTACCGTGTGGCTTAGGAAGGCTGCTGAAATAGTTCTCTGGCCATGTCGCAAACAGATTGTACAAGGCGTTGTCGTCGCCATCGCCGTAGTGAGGCTCAGGGTCAAACGCAGCGTGCGGTGCGAGAGCCGCGATAGTCATGTCGCTGGAGTCGCTGTGGTGGGTGCCGAGCTGGCAGTAGGAGCTGTCGGCTCTATTAGTTCGGTACCGGCAAAGGCGGTTGTCTTGTTGGTGTCGACGATAAAATTTAATTGCTACGATAGTTACAGATGGCGGTTAATACAAACGGCTGGGAGCAGATAACTATTCATTACTGCCACAGGACCAGCCATCAGGCAGGAGGTAGGCTGGCCCCTCGCTGGAATGTACGACTGCCAGATTTGGGGGTTCAGCCACACGGCCCGTGTAACGCGGCCCGTGTAGCAAAGTGGTTCGGCCCGTCTAGCAATAGCCCTGTGGAATACGTACGTATGAACGTGTTGCACTACTGTCAGACCGGCGGTGGCACTTGTGAAAGCAAATGTGAATGTTTCGTCATCAAGACTGAAGTTATTATTGGTCTCTTCTTCAGATCCTCGAGATTCTTGAGGATTGTGTCGTTATCCTCATCTTTTCGCTTGTTTTGTGCGTTGATGTGCAGCAAGTGGCGGTGTGTGCGATATCCTTCACCACATTGCATAGGCCTCCATAAGCCTGTAGCCGTCAGGTTCGGCACACACCCAAGTACCCTCCAGGCACCCCTTTCCACCACTCTAACAACTACTGGACGTGCTGTCAGGGAGTGAGGTTGCACAAAGGGGGTGAACCCGGTACAAGGATATGGATTCAGGTGATTGCATGAGCTGGAAGTACATGGACAGGCAGTGTGGCTCACACAGACACACAATAAGCACACACCCGAATTTGCACACATTGTGATCACCTATTCCGATGTTAGAGTGGTGGAAAGGGGTGCCTGGAGGGTACTTGGGTGTGTGCCGAACCTGACGGCTACAGGCTTATGGAGGCCTATGCAATGTGGTGAAGGATATCGCACACACCGCCATTTGCTGCACATCAACGCACAAAACAAGCGTAAAGATGAGGATAACTACACAATCCTCAAGAATCTCGAGGATCTGAAGAAGAGACCAATAATAACTTCAGTCTTGATGACGAAACATTCACATTTGCTTTCACAAGTGCCACCGCCGGTCTGACACCGACACGTGCACAACTACAGTTGCACCGGATAACTGCATAAGTGCATACTGGGGCCGTGAAAGTGAGCTGCATGTCTCACTTGTCCACACGAGCAAAATGGCCGCGAGAAATGGGCAGAGATGGAGCAATCAAGATCATGATCAATACACTCGAGCAACTGCTCATACACCTCATCTTTAGACGAGGAAGTCTTTTGTGCTTGTATCCACACCGTACATCTGACAGAACCATGTATTTCATCCGTAACCATTATTCATCCAACAGTTTTGAAACTAGGCGACTCTCTGGCGAAGCTATGGGCCCTATCAGCCTGTTGCACAATTAGCAGCTCAGGACATCCATATTGTGCAGGACCTGACAGGATATGAATTGCAGTCCTGTTCAGGCAGTAGCGCACGTCTATCAAGTATACTTCACTGCTCAGTTAGGCGTATGGTCCGGCCTACGACCACAGTCCATTACCTCGTCCCGATGGAACTTCTTGAGGTGTCGCGAAAGAAGCTCGAGGCTGGTGGATCGAAATTTGCAATGCTTGCAGGCTGCTCCTCTCTGCAACGCAAGATGGTGGTGCGTCTCGGAGTGGTCCGGTCTGGTTTGTAGCGAGCATGGATCCGGCAGACGTAGATTTTGCAGAAGGCCGTTCAAGCCTTTCCGCGCTTTTTCCAAGACCCTGTCAGGGGTCGCAACGATCCTTGGCTGCGAGACCACATTGCTCAGTCTCTGGATGGCGAACGACATCACCAATGCCTGGATCGTGGAAGCGGACGCATGGCGGTACCACCCTACTAAGCTCAGATGCGGACGAAAACAAGCTCGAGCCAATTGTTCAGTCCCCGGGCCGGCTTCTGGACCGTTGTGGAGGCACCGTACGTAAAACGGATGTATCAATCCACCGGTGGCTGCGAGGCAGATTCCCTGACGTCCCTTCGGGGCCCCGTTGGAGCTCGTTGCGATGAGCAACGCAGCAGAGATACAATACTGCCGTCCACTGAGGCGGTGTATCTGCTTTTGGATACAATTCTGAAGACTCCCTCGCCAGGTGGGTGTAACGGAGCCTAGGAAGGGTCCCAAGGTTTGCTGTTGCTTAGGGGGTAAGCTAGGTTAGACGAGCAGTAAACGATTCAACAAGAGTTCGTTAAGAAGCTTTGAAGACTTCTCATTCATGTGAATGCTTAGATTGATCACTGAAGATCTGGCTATCTCCTTTTGGGTAAGGACTGTAGTATATATATCCATCCAGCTCTTCTGTGATCTTCTGGGGATCTCCAGGATCGCGAGTGCGATCCTGCGATCCTTCTCTTGGATCGCTGGGAGCGCCGTGGTGCTCCTGCTCTGGGAGACATATAAAGACCAAGAGGTCGGCTCTTGCGAAAGATGAGATTCTTTCCCTTTACTTTTCGTTTTCCTACTCAACCGGTGGTTCAAAGCTCCACGTGCCACATCACGTGATCTGGAGAGCCTTGCCTGCAGGTCCCCTGTCCTTGATTCTGCCGGACATATCGTCTGACCTATAACAGGTCGTCCTGCCTGGCGGCCGCCTGTTGGTCTGTAACACTCCGGAGACTCCAAATGGCTCGGCTCGTCCTCAGGCCACGTCGTTTGTCTTCAATAATGGCAATGCCTAATGATTGGGCAGGGTGGGCATTGCGGTTCGGAAAAAGCAACCAAATATGCCGGACGATGAAGGGCGGCAATGCTTTGGCCTGCAGTATCAACCCGGGGCTAAGATGTGAGGGCCCCTGTCAACATCAAGTCACTCCTTCACAGTACGGTCTCTTGCGTATGTCAACCCGATAGAGCTGTTATGCGTCAATTCCTCTATCGTAGCACAATTGTTTCAGCGATCAAACAACTCACTCATTCAACCGCACAAACTGCTCAATTGGAGTCACTCGCAGCTTGCAGACAATTATAAAAGCTGGAAGTCAATCCAATAATAGATAAAAAATGCAAGAGTCTTTCGTTGCCCGGTTCACAGGGGATCTTCTTCTCGATCGTTGTCCAGTTATCCAATTGACCGTGGCGTGCGACAGCCCCCGCCGCATTGACTCAGGACGTAGCGGTGAAACGCTCCCTCGTCTTCCGCATGCACAGCCAGTGTGAGCATAACAACATGGTTCGTCGGCCATTGTACCTGCTCACAGGATGAGTGGTGTGAAGCCTGAAGGCTTGCAGGACGCCCGGTGTGAAGCTCGCAGGACAAGAGGTGTGAAGCAATATCGGCTTGCAGAACGTGTGGTGTGAAGCATTGTCCGCTATCCTGCTTTTGTCGCTGCGCCATTGTCACCAAGACAGCAATCCGTCTAGAAACGAAACAACGATAACGCCACGCGGAGTGCTGCTATGGAAGTCTCCGCTTACATCTCTCCAGGTGGGTGATCTGGCGAGCGTTATTCCAAGCCGCTGTTCACCTCGCCTCCCAAACTCATCAAGTCCAGCGCACGACACTGATTCGGTCGCCAGCCGACCTGCCGGGTCGAGCTCTGACCAGCTACCCTTGGCAGCCTATCTCAGGTGAGCCGTCTCGGCCACGCTTGGTCCTGGGCTGCGCACGGCGCGACACAGTCTAACAGTACGTCCAAGCACGCAGCGCTGCTGCCATCCTCGCTTTGTCCGCTGATAGCCGCAGCTCTCGACCTCGATTGCGCGTACCGCCGCGTGACTGACTCCCCGATCGCTACGCAGAAAGACGGCAGGAGCACAAACAATGGAACGGAAACGCTCTCACGAAACGGAGGCGTCCAAGACGATGGGAAACTCACCCGTTTCGTCCCATGGCATGCCGCCAAGTGACCACCGCGACCAGCCGCCGCAAAACCCTCCGTCGCAAAGGACCAGTACGCCTGATCATGCGACTGCCGAGCGCTCAGCACCGCCGGCCGAGGGCCCCTAATATGCCGACGACTTGGCCGCCGCCCAAGGCCCTTCCGAATCCTAGAGGCCACACGACAGACCAGTTGAATCACTTACGCAACCCAGTACGAGTCGGTACACCGAGCTCAGTCGCCTGCCTTTTACGTCCAGCAGCCAAGAGCTGGCCAAGATGAACCCATCATGCCCTTTGGCAGGCAGTATGGCTCCGGTTACGGCATGTACTTGGTGAATCAGACCCCAAGGGGCTACGCACCGCACACAGGGCCAGGCTAAGGGCCGCAGACTCCATCGGCTCGGCGAATGTATGAGAATTGTTATGGGCGGACAGCACTCAGTACCAGGCAACACTGCGGAAGATGATTCGTGACGCCCGTGCTTGAACTAGGCGGACACACGCCAGCGCCCTCCTTCCCTCTTGGCGAACTTGCATAGTCCGCCTAATGGTGCTGAGGGGCTTTGAGTTGCCTCTGTCATGTCAGAGTTCATGGCCACGGCCTTCCACAAGGATGCGACGTCTTACCGCTGTGTCACGTCTCTCTCACGTTGCGCCGCTCACACTGCCTACCCCGCTGGACCTCACAGGCCGGTGCTGACAAAGGGACTCACTCTATGGCCGTCATTCAGCACCGCGACCAATTCAACTTTGGATGCGCTGCCTTGCAACACCCCGGCTGGCCCGTATAAGGCTACACGGTTCCCCCCAGCCGGCAAAACAGAATCTCTGCGGATCCCGAGGCATTGGACGGCCAGCTAGTGACAGGTAGTTTGAAGCCATGTTCGTCGACAACATTCTTGGTGCAACTTCTGCGTAACCCACATACATCACTTTCTATACAAGAAGGTGCCTGACATGCAGGATTGTTATCCGATAGTATGACCTGGGGAAATCTTGTCATAGTTCACGCTGGCCTAGAAGCGGCCGTAGCCTCCAACAGACGC